CCTATTAACAAGCTTCTGTTTTCAAATGCAAATATGGAGGACAGCACATGAAGCTTAGACTGATGCTTTGCTTCTGACGAACTGTCTTGAGAGGACGGGAGTTTTGATTTGGGGAAAGGAGTAGGGAGGGTGCATGGTCCAAGAGCGAGCCTGAGGTTTGGAGGGGTGCTGATGAAGTGTCTCTGGGCAGGCAGAAAGCAGCACAGGAATACTCAATGCCTGTTGCTAAGGAAGAGGACTGCTGGGAGTAGAGAGCAGTGATAGTGATTAACATTTGTTGAGCACTAGTAACTTTAAAGTGTTGAAAAGCAAAGATGTCACTTTGAGGACTAAGGTTTGCCTGATCCAAGCCATAATATTTTCAATCACCTCATGTGCATGTGAAAGCTGGACAATGAATAAGGAAGACCAAAGAAGAATTGACGCCTTTGAATTATGGTGTTGGTGAAGAATGTTGAATATACCATGGACTGCCAGAAGAATGAACAAGTCTGTCTTGGAAGAAGTACACCCAGAATGCTCCTTGGAAGCAAGGATGGTGAGACTTCATCTCATGTACTTTGGACATGTTATCAGGAGGGACCAGTCCCTGAGAAGGACATCATGCTTAGTAAGGTAGAGGGTCAGCAAAAAAGAGGAAGACCCTCGACGAGATGGATTGACACAGTGGCTGCAACCATGGGCTCAAACACAGCAATGACTGTGAGGATGGCGCAGGACCGTGGACAGTGTTGCATTCTGTTGTACAAAGGGTCACTATGAGTCAGAACCGACTCGATGGCACCTAACAACAACGGTGACTATGTGTGCTGGGCAGTCTGCTTAAATCCTTTAATCCTCACAACAGGCTATAAGGTAGTGAGTATTATTATCCACATAAGTAAACTGAGGGTAAGAGAGGTGAAATAACTTGTCCAGAAAATGGCTGTCAGGTTTTGAACACAGTAGATTTTTCTAAACTACTTTGTTAAAAGGAAGATGGAAAACTGAAAACTATCTTTGTCTACTCACCCTAGAGATGATTAGTGATTATCCAAATTGAACTCAGATGCCTCAGACTTCTCCAGCCTTCAGGAGTTATGCTTTCCTTTAATTCCCAAATCACAGCTCCAAAAAGTCCACTCTTATACCTGGCTTCTGTCTCTTAAGTATTTGAGTCCCCACAGAATGCTTACATGCTCCACCAGCATGTCCTAGATATTTCTGGTTATCTTAACCAGCCTGCCTCTCCACTCGTCACAGGGAAACCCTTGTACCGCTGGACCTCACGGTGAGGTTAAGGCCAGACTAAATGTTTATTGAAGGCTCAGGGATAAAATAATGGAATTATCCAGGGCTTCCAACGTTTGTTTGAACCCCTGCTGGGAATCTGCATTTCTAACAAGTTCCCAGGAAGTTATACATAAGAATCACCTGGCCATCTTGTTAAAATGTAGATTCTGATTCAGTATATCTGTGGAGGGAATGCAAATTCTCATCAGGGAACTTGTTAGAAACGAAAATTCTCAGCAGGGGTTTGAATTGGACGGAACTGGTTTGAAGCCCTGAATAGCACAGGAAAAGACCCTGAAGCTGAGTAGATCAGTCTATTCCCAGGACTACTGGCCAAGTCATTTTCAAGGGTCCCCTACAGAGACCTCCCTAGCCACTCCAACCACCACCACCACCACACACACACTCAGCCAGGAGTACTTGTGGCCCACCTCTCCTACAAGAGTCAATCTCAACAACTTTGACACTCCCAGAAAGTAAAACCCTATTTGTAGAGATGTACTGCACCCAAAGTACTATGATGGCTTGTGTGTTGCTGATTCTGGAAGCTATGTCACCAGTATTTCCAATACCAGCAGCATTACCCATGGTGGACAGGTTTCAGCAGAGCTTCCAGACTAAGACAGACTAGGAAGAAAGGCCTAGCATTCTACTTCTGAAAATTAGCCAGTGAAAACCCTATGGATCACAACAGAATACTGTCTGATGTAGTACTGGAAGATGAGCCCCCTAAGGTGGAAGGCACTCAGAATACACGGCGGTCACAACAATGGACTCAAGCATATTAATGATTGCGAAGATGGCGCACGACCAGGCAAGATTTTGTTCTGTTGTACACTGGGTCACCATGAGTTGGAGCCGACTCCATGGCAACTAACAACAGTAACAATGCTCCCAGGGAGAAGTAGGCTTTTTACACTGTGTGAGCAGATTAGCTCCTAGCACCTCAAGTCCCTTGATTTCTGCATAGGATCTTGGCTTTACCATTGGATAACCAAAAGACCCATTAATTAAAACTTTTTTCTTAAAACCAAAAAAATAATGTCCTCAATAGTGTCCTCGTCTCTACAGAAACTGAAAACTGTATATTAAGTTTTAGCCAGGGCCTCATTACACAAATCACACTTAAAATATTACCCTTTTGAAAAAACAAACTAGTACTTTCTAAGGAGGATATATTTGGGACAAACAAAGCCATTTCTCACTCTTATAGGACCTAGAATCTTCCAACTTGGAGGACCTTGCCTTAACTCTTAAAGAGATTAGTGAAGTTTCATTTTATCATTTGGGTCCTCCTTCCAAATGATGATGATTAGAACTGAGAATTATTTTTACTATACAAATCTATGGAAACCTCTAAATAGCCAATACCGCTGGATTTAAAACCATAAATTGACAATTTTAAGATAAATTGAAAATGGGCTCTACTAGTTCGTGGAATTTAAAAACACGTACACAACTTTGAATTCATGTGAAGGCAACTTTGACATGATGACTATTTCCAGCCTCTTCCTGGCAGAGGTGAGCTGGAGAATGAAAGAACCCAAACACCAGAGGGACCTGAGAGAGGGGAAATGAAGGTGCAGTTTCCGTGCCTGGCTTCAAAGGCTGGCGGCAATCACAAACCTAACACATCTCTTTCCAGCTAGACCAACTTTCTGTAAAGGCAGAAAAACCCCAAACAGCGAATTCAAATTTCTCTTGCATAATTTTTAATTTAACAATGTCCCACTTTCCAAGCTATTGCCATCTGATCTTTGTAATCACACTGATGAATCAAATGCAGTCAGGGGGAGGGAATGACTAGTCTAGTACAACTCAGTCTTCCCAGCTTGGGGTCTAGGTTTTCATTCTTCTTACTGAAGTTCCAGCTCCCTCATGCACTTGTGTTTATTCATTCCATTACTATTAAGTACAGAAATGAACAGACAAAAGATTTCTTTCTCCCTAATAAATCATTCAGTAAATAGAACTGAATATCCTCCAATCTTGCTAGCTGATTGCATATATGAGCTATGCTGGGTAAAATCAGCTAGTTCGTATTTCCACAGTTATCAGATCCTCTGGATAAGAGATCTCCTCCCCTGTATGCCCAGCCAAGGTCCCAGCCACTTCTCTCTGCTGCTTCTTCCATCACTGCATCAGAGATATGCATTCCAGCTATTGTTGAAGGAGGAGGTGTTAATAAAGAATAAAATCATAACAGAAATTTTCTAGACAGATTCAGATTTTAGATTGACTTAAAGACTCTATCAACCTCAGGCTAAGTTTAGGAAAATTATAAATGTAGATTGAAAGCTAAATTCCCCCTTTAAACAAAACAGTTCTTTTTGAAATTCAGGTTAACTAATTACTCCAGATAACAAATTCGCTTTGAGAGACAAAGGTTCCTAGTCTTTGTAAAAAAGCTCCTTTGTGTTCAAACCATTGCAGTGATAGTAAGCTCACTTTCTCACAAGGTAGCCCATTTCAAAATTCTGACAACTTGTGGAGAGTTAAAAAGCTCCTCCTTATACAGAGCCAAATTGACCTCCTGTAGCTTTTCCCAATTTCGTTTTGGATCTGCCCTCTGGAGAGACACAGAACAAGCCTAATCCCTCTACTAGACGGCTAATCTCTTTAAGTGATTCTCTTAAAAGAAATTGTGGTGACTCAGGCTACAATTCTCTCATGGATATAATAAACCCAATGCCTTTCCCCTCCTTTTAGTGGCAGAACAAGTGTATGCGAGTACAGTTAATATGCTGGAAAAGGGGAACTGCTCCTCCCCAGAAGTCCTGGTGCTACAGCCCAACTCAAGACCCCACTTTGTAGGCCACCCCTGGGCAATCAGAAATGGACGAGTGTCTGGGAAGGGGAGGTGCTGGAAAGGCCAGTTCCCTTGGATCTTCTTCTCTGTTGCTATCAAACCCCAGCCTTCTGCTGGCTAGTGTCCACATTTGTTATTTGGCCCCAGAGATTCTCCTCTTCATCTAGGTCAGAGGTCACAGGTTCTCAATCTTTTATGTGCACAAGAACAGGGCAGTTTTCCACAGGGCTGCACCCCCTGAGATTTTGGTTTAGTAGAAATGAGGCAGGCCTAGTAATCTGTATTTTAACAAGAACCCCGGTGCTAATGTCCTTGCTACACTTTGAGAAACACACATCTAAGTAAATAAACTTCTTGTTTGAAAAAAAAAAGTGGAGCAGAAAAAAACATTGCATTTTGGTTTTATTTAGTCATAAAGCACACATACTTAACATCATTTATCTTAGTCCTATCCATTTAAATTAGTAAATTCCACATTATATAAACAATAAAAATAACACTTTATGTCATTTATTATTCATCTAATGCTAATCATTAAGCCTACCAAACTTCTTCTGGAGTAAGGACGGGTCTAACAGCATCATCTGCAGACTGATAACTGGAAAGGTTTGTCAGGAAGCATCTAATATCGGCCTTAAGAAGCGAGCCAGGCTCCTGAATTGCAGCATATTCCCCTGCCCTAAATTAGCTGACAGACAGGCCTTGGGCCAGAGTTGAGGAAATTTACATGGAGAGTACGTTTTGGTCCAACACTTAGCTGATCAACCTCTGACTGAAGTTAATACATAAATCAGACCTGGATAAGCACCACCACACACATCCTATGCAATTCTGTGGGAGTTCTAACAACGCTAAAAAAGGATTCTAGTGCACAGGTTACAAGTTAAAACATTTCACAGTAGTCTAAATGCCTGGGGAGTTTAATGATGCAAAGAAAACCCTTCTTTCCTTTGAGAACAGCTTATTTCTTTTCAAAAGAGCTGCTGCGGTTCTTTTAGAAACATAAAGGGTGTCTCATTTCTAACTCAGCCTCGAAGTAATGCTATCCCAAGGCAGCTCCAGTGACCTCGTTTCTTTGCGGCAAAGAGAGCCTGTGTCCTACGGAGTAATTTAGCACTTAGTAAACTGACTAAAAAAGTTAAGCAACAAATCCATAAAAAGGTTTTGGTGATAGGAACTTACTTTCCTGCTAAGATACTTAACGCATGCTTGTTGCAAAATAAAATTACTTTTAAATAAATGTAGTGAAGCGAAGGCATCTTTCATTTTCTATTAGGAATGAAGACTTTCACTGGCTCGCTGACCTTCCTCTTCTTCCTGGAGCTCTCTGAACTCTGCTGACTGTACACAAAATCCATTCTTTCAATCTGTGAGAATCACCAGAGAGAGACACGATTCAGCTGAAAATTTGACGTCTGCGCAAGGCACACACAAGACAGGCAGACCACGCATTAATCCCTCTAGCTGTATAACGGATCCAAACCTGCTTTCCCGTGGGCTGGTTTGGCCATACACTAAGGCCCTGATGCCAGTATCAGAGTCTTGTATTCCAAGTTTCAGGAGCTGAGGGCCACTGGAGGCAGCCAACTTCAGGGACAGCTTCTTGGCTCTCTCTAGTGAATTTAGCATATCCAACTCGTGAGGGAAGGGTTGTCAAGGTGTGGGGCCAAGGAGCAATTAAAGGTCAGGAGAGATCTAGGGCACTGATTGCTTTAGAGGCAAATATAACTTAAGTCCCAATTTCAGTTAGCAGAGACATGCAGCCTTGCCTTTTCTATCATATGTTCAGATTAGTAAATTAGGAGGGACCATGGCCCTTCTGATTGGAGGGAAGTATATGTTATTGATTAATGGGAAGATTAGTGAACCACCATATACATCTATATTATATGCTTATAATATATATTTCACCACTGGGCTCAGCTTTGTTAAAGATTTTAGAATTTGTTTTTGCTTAACTAAATCAACAGTTTGGTGTATTATAATCTGTCAGACAATCTCTAACCCTTGAATTCCAAGATATATATAGAGGACATTTTCATATTTTCCAGCCACTAGATAGGAGGAAAAGTTTTTCCATGTCCTCTATTCTTTCTTTGGTAGGAGAATGAAATAAGATATAATACACACACACACACATATACATATATGTATATATTTGTAAAGCAAGACTTGTCAGAATATCTAGTAGAAGCTCCCACATTACGATCTTTTTTTTTCTTTTGATATAGATGCAAGTTGTTATTATTGATATGCTATTACTACAAAATAGTGGGAATGTCAATAAAGAATTTAAGTACCATTTAGAACCAAAGATTGGGTCTGAAAATGGCTAATTTAAAACCAGTTTATACTTTAGCTTTAGAAAGCAGTTAAATTCCTGATCTCAGGAACCACAAATTTCCTTTGGTTTAAACCAAGACATGTTGTTGTTAGCTACCGCTGAGTCGGCCCTTGACTCATGGTGACCTCATGCACAACAGAACGAAATGCTGCCCAGTCCTGTGCCATCATCCTGATTGGTTGTGGATTGGACAATTGTGATCATGAGATTTTCACTGGCTGATTTTCAGAAGTTGATTGCCAGGTCTTCCTATTCCATCTTAGTCTGGAAGCTCCGCTGAAACCTGTTCCAGATCACAGCAACATGTAAGCCTCCACTAACAGAGGGGTGGTGGGTGTGCATGAGGTGCCTTGGCTGGAATCAAACCCGGGTCTCCCACATGGAAGGCAAGAATCCTACCACTGAACCACTTCTGCCCCTAAGCCAAGACATAGGCTATTTTAACAGACTATTTAAATTTTTTTAATTTAAAAGTTTTAAACAGTAAAAGTCTGAGAAAATAAATGAAGCTGCTTACCAAATAACTGGTTTGCTTATAAAGGTAAAAATTTGAAATAGCCTGCTCTAAAGGAGAGGAAACAGCAACATAAAAACCCAAAGCACAAAAATAAACTTCTTTATCTAGGAGATGAATCTGTTACGGTTTGGTTATAAGAAAAAAATACTTGGTAAAATGTAGTTTGTCAAACAATGTTGCTTGGGTGTGTTTTCTATCTGAACCAAATTATCCTCACTTCTTTCAAATCTGGGTACACTGGGAAGAACAGAAAATGGGTGTATAAATTCTCGAATGACGAAGTTGGTCTGCTGGTTTAATACTTTTGTTCCCTTTTTCTTCTATTGCTCAGTAAATAAGAGTTTTATTGCAAGTTCCAGAATTGCAATTTTATTGCAATGAGTTAGTCAAAACATCTTCAATAATGTACACAATCTCAAGGCAACCAGTGAGGTCTGGGAACTCTCAATGGTTTACAGAAACCAGTGGGTTCTAAAGCAAATATGTTATCGTTAGTCAGGGGACGCTTCCTAACGTAGATTAAGTGAACTGCATAAGCCAACAAATTTATCCATACCAAGGAACATCTGAGAAACATTTTTCAGGTGTATTCCAACTGGCTGAGTTTGCACATTTGATGACAAAGCCAACCAGCCAAGCAAAGGGCCAGCAATCAGCAGGCTAGACAGATTACCTGGATGATTTGAGCTACATCAGATAACTACATCAAAGAACTTCTACTACAGTTTGTTGTATTTTCTTAAAATATACCTTTTAAAGTGTTTCTCGTATACTTATTAACAAGAAGCTACTATGAGTCATTCACCCGTAGAGCCTAAGGAGTAAAGCATCTAGACATGTGTCTGAAAAAAACCCTGAAGACACGTGTTCTGCTGTATGAAATTTCCCTACTTTCCATTTTTGGTTTGAGAACAAAGCTTTAGGCTTTGCCTAAAGCACAGATGGCCAGCTGACTAAGTAGCAGTATATTTGAGAAGCACTGGGAGGGGTCCCTCATTCCAAACAACTCCTTCATTTATTACTTTATTCATTCTTCTTTTTTTGTAATGCTTGTTATTTGAATGTTCTCACAGAGTTCTATCTTTGTTGTCTTTTCTCCTCATCCTCCACACTCTCTGGATGACTCAGTGACTCCTAGGAATCAATTACCATTAATAAGCAAAAATCCCCACGTTTTTATGTTCAGCCTAGATCGTACTTCTGAACTCCAGATCTAGTGTGTGTCCAACTGCCTACTAAAAGTCTCCATTTGGATGTTTCAAAGAAAACACAAATGCATATGTCCAAATTGGAATTTATCATCTTCCTCTTTAAGCCTACTTCTAATCTTTCTTCTGATTCTGTGCAATTCCCCTCCAAGGTGTCCAAGTTAAAAACCTCAGAGTCATCAATGACTACTACATCATTCTCACCCCAACAGCAGGATCACTAATTCCTACTGATCCTACCTCCACAATATCTCTCAAATCCATCCACTTTTCTCTATCTCCACTGCCTCTACTTTAGTCTAAGCCAACATCCTCTCTCCCAATTACTGGGCCCTTCTCCCCACTCCCACCAGTACTGCTTCTCTAATCCATTCTCCACTCTGGAGCCTAAGTAGTCTTATGTGCAAGTCTAGTCACATCACTCTTCTGCTTGTTCATTCATTAATGGCTTCCTAGTGTCACTCTGAGGATTAAGGTGTGCCTGACCCAAGCCATGGTATTTTCAATTGCCTCATAAGCATGCGAAAGCTCGACAGTGAATAAGGAAGACTGAAGAAGAACTGATGCCTTTGAATTATGGTGTTGGAGAAGAATATTGAATATACCATGAACTGCCAGAAGAATGAACAAATCTGTATTGGAAGTACAGCCAGAATGCTCCTTAGAAGTGAGGATGACGAGACTTTGTCTCACGTACTTTGGACATGTTATTAGGAGGGACCAGTCCCTGGAGAAGGACATTATGCTTGGTAAAGAGTCAGTGAAAGAGAGGAAGACCCTCAACAAGATGGACTGACACAGTGGCTGCAATGATGGGCTCAAGCATAGCAACAATTGTGAGGATGGTGCAGGACCAGGCAGTGTTTTGTTCTGCTGTACAAAGGGTTACTATGAGTTGGAAGTGACTTCACGGGACCTAACAACAACAAGTGTCCTCAGGATAAAGTCCAAACTCCTTATGGCTCTGGCCCATCTCTGCTATTTCATTGTGCCCAGACTAAAACTTAACTACTTGCAGTTCCTTCAGATGGGCCCTGCTTGTTTCCCTCTGGACTTTGCCTATAATGCCCATTCCCATACTTTGCTCCTCCCTTCTTCACCTGGTCCAGGGTTAGCCCTGGAGTTTCTTCTGCTTGCTGGCCTTCCCTGACACCCCCTTTTGTAGCACTTACTATATGGTATTTTCAAGCCTACTTACCAGTCTTCTCAGCCACAGTGTAAACTCCTTGAGGTTAGTGACAATATCTTAATCGTTTTTGTATTCCCAGTTCCTGGCATCTGGTAGGTGCTCACTAATTACTGGCTGAATAACTGAATGCATACTGAATCTGATTTTAAGCCAGGCACTGTGCTGGGCCCTAGCACTGTATGTAGTACTATATTAAGATGAATAAGGCACAGCTGTTTTCAAGGATGGAGTCTTATGAGAGGCATTAAGCACCTGATTGCAATATAATATAATGCCATAGTAGACATTGATTCATTCATTCAGTAACTATTTATTGAGTGCCAACTATGTACATGGCATTGTTATAGTTGCTTGGGATACATCAGTGAACAAAAGAGATAAAAATCCCTGCCTTGTGCATTTTACATTCTGGCCAGATTTCTTTTTGGCTTAACAATTTCCAACGGCAGCCCATTGCTTTTAGGATAAAGTCCAAAGTCTGTACCTTGGCCTTTCAATCACCAGCGGTGGTTCTTTACATTTGGGGTGGGAGGTCATCGACTGGCTGTGAGAGCCTGATGAAAGCTATGCACTCTCTCCTCAGAAAAAAGCACACACCTCCACTCACACACTCATACACTGTGGCAGGCAGTTTGAGGGGTTCCTAGATTCCCTGAGTACCTCCCAGGTAGAGTCACTTCCCCACAGCTCCTTCACTATACCTCTTACTCTCTGCCCTTTCAGGGTTCTCATACTTTGCTTATTCCTGATTCTGCACCTTTGCACGTGATGTTCCTTCTGCCTAAAATGTTCTTCCCTCCATGAGGCTCCCTTTTGCCTAATTAATTACTACTCTTTCTTCAAATCTCAAATGAAAAATTATTCCCTCAAAGAGATTCTCCTTATGACATCCTAATTAAGTTAGGTTTCCCAATTATGCATTTTTTTCCCTCCATACATTTAAACCTTATTGAGGTTTCATTTACGTACCATAAGCTGCAACCATTTATACAATTTGATGGGTTTTGACAAATGTGAACACAATCAATCAAGATACACAAGATAGATAACATTTCATGACTCTCAGAAGGTTCCTGCTGGTTCTTTGCAGTCTGTTCCTCCCTTTGCCC